CCACCAAGAATTTGGAGTATGAGGCCTTCTCCAATAGCATGTGGCGGTTTGTTCCAGTCACCTCCAGGAGCAAGCGGCACTTTCTGAGCACGAGCAGTTTGATTAAGTTTGCCACATATTTTGAGGCTCCGTGGCGTTAGCCCTTCTCCTACATTCAAGTACGCTGTTCCAGTCACGAAGACTCCCAATTCGCTAGATCCGATGTCGCATATTGCGCCACTTCCAGTTGTAATGCTGCCCAACTGTCGAGATGAGTTCGCACAAGGATGCGCACACCTTGAGATGCCCTGCCGTTCACTGTCGGCAACGCGGGCACAACGAACATTTGCCAACCGCGATTCGCCATCTTCTTCATTAGTTCCCCATACCTGGAAGAGAGTAACCGATGCTCCTGATGTGCCCACGACGATGCTCTGAATGGTCTTCAATTCAAGTGGCTTACGCCATTCCGCCGACCCCCACAAGGAGTGAGTGTTTGAGACGATCGTGGAAGCTGTATCTTGGGTCAGGAGGTTCTTGGAGAAGGGGCTCTTGGGGTGCTTCTCGGGGGCATCTTGGAGGGCTTTGTGGGGCATGTGGGAGGCTCTTGGGGGCTTCGCGGTGGTTTCTGTGGAGCTTCGTGGTGGCGTCTTGGAGGCCTCTTGGAGACTCTTGGAGGGCCCTCGGGGGCCTCTGGGGGTCTCGAGGGGCCATGCTCGAAATGTCAGTTCGTATTCCCCCTCTTGGGCTTTCTTGGAGCCCTCTTGGGGCCGTTATCATACTTGATGTTATTATGGCCAGTGGGCCTGACCAGGGCCGCACCTGCCTTCGCAACGTTCGAGCTCAAGGGAGGCCGGGCAACAGCGCCAGACCCGCCTGACCATGCGCACCGCCTGGTTGCCTCTACATTGCCCACGTGGGCGCTGCCAGAGCCGCCAGACCATGCGCACCGCCAGGCTGTCTCTACAATATCACTGCCCTTCTCACTATCACCGCCCTTCTCCCTTGGCTCCTCTGTGTCAGAGTTGGAAACAGCCACACCACCTGAAGTGGAAATAGCGCCCCCACCTGAAATGGAAACAGCACCGCCTGCAGTGGAAACAGCGGCACCACCTGAAATGGAAACAGCACCACTTGAATTGGAAATATCCATACCACCATCATCGTTAGGAACATTCATGTTGTGTGCCATCACCTTTGGTGACCGGATGCGTTGGCAGCTGTACACTTGGAGTTGACAAGACAGAAGAAGCCTTCTCGCATATTGAGGCTGCCACATATGCACCTGAGCCAGATGATGAGCACGTCGACGCCTGAGACGCACTCGCTGCCGACTGCTCATGTGTATCTTTGGACTTTCCTCCGCTTGCTCCGCTTGCTGATGATTATGCTTGATTCATGTTTTCTTCTTTCTGTCCAAGCGTTGGTTATGTGTTTCGTGTTCCTGCTGTAGTGTATCCACCCGAGCCTTAACCACCCCGAGCATGTGTGTGGTTGTCGTCGTGAACGCCTCCTTGACATCAGCAATCCTTCTCTTTGTGTCTCGTTTTTCCTCTGCCGCGACAAGTCGCAGAAATCGTTGGGCCTTAGGAGGTCACCTGGGTTGATGTCCCAGAAATCAATATTCCTTCCATGATATCGTCAATAGCAAGCCTGCCTATAGGAGCGGTGGGGGCCTGGGTATCTGAGACACCCAAGTGCAGCTTCAGAATAGCTGCTCTGTAGATCCATCATGTTCCTCCAACTGGTCATTGATGTACTTGGTTCGCCCAACATGATAGGAGGCTTGGGCCATGACCTTCTCGTACGTCTCAACATGGTGCCCCAAGATTTTCTCCAGGTGGATATCTGCTCATGTGCTGAATCAGCCTTCACCTGTGGTGACAGCTCAGGAGATCTAGATTTTGACTTGAGCTGATCGAGCTGCTTATGATACTTCTGCGCCATCTGCACGTCCCCAGTCTTGCCATGCAGCTCCACCAGCTGCATGAGGTCATGGTCGTATAGCTCCTTGTTTCGCACCGGCAAAGGGGCTGGGCTGAGATGGACCATTTTCGAACAACATGGTTGCAGAATCCCCACCTTGCAACTTGATGCTGTCGTTGCTGAAGACTGGATTGATGCTACCCGAACCTGACTCCGCAATAGTGCATTACCGTGCGAACGCACCCGCAAATTGAGCACTTCCAACCACCACTAGGTTCAGGCAACGGAGCCGTGGCCCTACAGTAGTAGGAAGCAACATCGATGTAGATAGTGAAATGGTGGGAGGGCTTCCCAATACAGAACACTGAGACTGGCAGGGCCGCTTCTCCCTGCGCCACAACACTCTCGTCCTGGAGCCTCCCGCTACGGACTTGAGCCAAAATGGCTACGGTCCTCCTCCTCCTTCGCCTGTTCCTCCTCCTCGCATTCCTCCTCTTCCTCCTCCTCTTCTTCCCTTCCTCCTCCTCCCCCTCCTCCTCCTCCTCCTCCTGCTCCTCCCCCTCCCCCTCCTCCTCCTCCTCCTCCTCCTCCTCCTCCTCCTCCTCCTCCTCCTCCTCCTCCTCCTCCCCCTCCTCCTCTCCTCATCCCCCTCCTCCTCCTCCTCCTCCTCCTCCTTCTCCTCCTCCTCCTCCTCCTCCTCCTCCTCCTCCTCTCCTTATTCCCTATCGGTATAAGCCCTACTCTGCCACCTAGCTTGCCGGTAGCGACCACATGCGGGCCCTTCCATCCTACCCACCTTAAACGATACAAGACAGTAAAACGTCGACGATGTCCGTCTCAACATGGACATGTTGTCGTCCATGTTGCAAAATGTGTGGCGGGAATGGGACGGGCCGCACATCCCGCGCGAACGGCCGAAATGTCGCCCTCGCCTCGGCGCCGCGCTTGCTGCCGCTGGGGCGCGGCGCGCATTCGTCGCACGCATCCTCGTCGACGCGTGAGCAGACGAAACTTTCACTCTCTTCGGCGCTGCGCAGATTTCGCCTGAAAGTGGCGCTCCTGCTCAGACGCGGCGCATGTTTGTCACTCGCTAATTTGGGGGGGTCGCGCAGGTGGACGACTTGTCGCCCTCGCCCAAGTTCGGTGCGCAGTTGGTTCGGAAGTGTCGTTCCAGCGCGGGCGCGGCGCCTGACTCGTTCGCTGAAGCGCATGAAAGCGACCGCGGCAGCGGGGCCGCGCGAGGGCTGGCGAAATGCCGAACTCGCCCAAACGTCGCGCAGTTTGCGAGTGGAAGTGGCAATGCTGTGTCAACGCGACGCGTGCTTCGTCGTCGCCGCGCCCATCAGACGTTTTGCCGATCCCGCCCCTGCGCGGCCCGCGTCGTTCTCTGTTTCTCCAAGTCGTCGGAAGCGAGGCCGCGCGCGAGCGCCTTCCGCTTGCAAGGTGGGGGCGTTTCCCAATCCCAATAGCAAGTTGTGCCACAATTGATTATTATGTCGTGGGAGGGAGGGAGGGTGGGAGCAGGCTGGGACCTCAGACTCGCTCGGCCTGGCAAGTTTGACGCCTCCTCCTCGTCCTCCTCCGCCTCCTCCTTTAACATTAACTTGTTCCTCCGCCTCCTCCTCCTTCTCCTCCTCCTCATCATCATCATCACCATCGTCAACAGCATCATCAACATCACCATCATGATCATCATCAGCATCATCATCATCATCATCATCATCATCATCATCATCATCATCATCGTCGTCATTATCATCAGCATCATCATCATTCTCCTCCTGAAACCTCAACCTCCTCGTCGCCCCCCTCCTCCCTCCTCCTCCTCCCTCCTCCTCCTCCCTCCTCCTCCTCCCTCCTCCTCCTCCCTCCTCCTCCTGGCCTTCCTCGTCGCTCGCCCCTTCTGTCGCCACTCGGGGCTTCCCTCCTCTCTTCCTCTCGGGCGGTGTTGTCCTCCTCTTCCTCTTCCTCCTGTCCCTACTCTCATTTCTCCTACCTTGAGCTCGAAGAAGAAAAAACTACATAAACAGAATTTTTCGGAGCCTCGCGCGGAGCGTGGAGAGCGTGGAGAGCCAGGGGCGTGGAGCGTGGAGAGCCAGGGGCGGCGCTGGAAGCGCCGCCAAGGGGGCCCAGCGCCGATCCGATAAGTCCGCCTGGAGCTCCGAAAGTTTATTCTCATGCCAGATTATCTATCAGCCCCGCCGGGGCACCGCTGCGTGTAGCGGGATGCGGTGCCAGCACGCGCGCTGCTCTGAGATGCGACGTCGCGAAAGACAGCAACATCGTGAAAAGTCACGACCGGAGCCCAGTACCTATCTTTTTGTTCCATTTTTCGGTTGCACGCAAGAATGGCCCTAGGCTTGGGTGGCCTTTGGAGCGCGGCCTCAGGGGCGCCCGTGGGGTCCCAACGCAACCGCGCAAGCCGCTGCTGTCGCATCGCGATCGGCGGGACGCGCCTCGAAAAATCCTTCGCGCCAACGAACAACCGTGGAATTCTGCTGAGTCGATTCGAACGCCCCGAATGGAACCCCGAAGGGGCTGCGAAAAGGGACGCTTCCGGGGCCCCCACCATGAGGTCTGGCATTGCCAGGCCGCGTCACGATGACATTTGACCAGGTCCGGCGTCGTGGCCAAAACTACCCCCCCGCGGGCCCAAGACATGTTTAAGTTTCTTTGGACAGCTTGCAATGGTAACGAATCCCATTGGTTCGGAAAGATATTAGATGTTCAAAGATACCCCAGCCGGACGATTTCGGGTTCGGGCTTGAATTCGGGACTGGTCCTGGGGCAGACAACGCGCCGCTCGGTGGACAAGCCTTCCACCCTCGGGAACACCAATGCGCGCTGTAGGATCGCCGCGTATGCGTTGCGGTCGATTGCGAGGGGGGGCGGTCCAACCCTGGCGCGCCCAGATGCCGGCGCAACCACACGCTGTGGGCGCCGACGCGAGGTCGAGCCCTTTCCCAACAAAAAGCACCCGACCCCCGTGTGGCCAGCACCAAAGGTCACCCTTGCAAGGGGTCACGAGCCAGTTTGATCTGCGTGGGCACCGGGGCTCGAAACCAGGCGAAGACGCCTGGCTCGAACAAAAATTCTTTACGCTTCGCGTATCCCCACCAGCCCATCTCACAGCAGCAACTCTGGCGAAGCATGCCGACAGTCGTGTTTTTCAGGCGTGTGTCCGCTTGGCCCCGCATATCTCCCCTGTTCCTCCTTCCTCCCGCCTCCTTGTACATCCTCCTTGTGGGGGGAGCGGGAGAAGGACGAGGCGGAGGAGAAGGGAGAGAAAGCGCTCCTCGTGATTTGAGTCGTTTGGGGTTTCTCGTCCTGGTGTGAGTCGTTCGGGCCCTTCTTCCTGGTGTGAGTCGTTCGGGCTCTTCGTGGTGTGAGTCGTTCGGGCTCTTCGTCCTGGTGTGAGTCGTTCGGGCTTCTCGTGGTGTGAGTTGTTCGGGCCCCTCATCCTGGTGTGAGTCGTTCGGGCCCCTCCTCCTGGTGTGACTCGTTCGGGCTCCTCGTGGTGTGAGTCGTTCGGGGCCCGCGTCGTGGTGTGAGTCGTTCGGGCTCCTCGTGGTGTGAGTCGTTCGGGCGCCTCGTCCTGGTGTGAGTCGTTCGGGCCCCTCCTTGTGGTGTGAGTCGTTCGGGCTCTTCGTGGTGTGAGTCGTTCGGGCCCCTCGGCCTGGTGTGAGTCGTTCGGGCTCCTCGTGGGGCCTCTTGGGAGCCTCTTGGAGCCTCTTGGGGCCTCTGGGGGGCCTCTTGGGGGCCTCTGGGGGGCCTCTTGGGAGCCTCTTGGGGCCTCTTGAGGCCTCTTGGGGGCCTCTTGGGGGCCTCTTGGGACCGCTTGGGCGCCTCTGGGGGGCCTCTTGGAGGCCTCTTGGGAGCCTCCTGGGGGCCTTGAGGGGGCCATCTTGGCCCCTCTGGGTGCCTCCTCAGAAGCGCTAGTGAAAGCTGCCCCCTGAAAAGGACAACATGGGGCCAAAACCTTCGTAAAAGCAATGATGTTGCTATGAAGGAGGATGAGCGCGGCCCCCCCAGGACGCCAAAATGGGGCCAAAACCGTAGTAAAATCAATGATTTTGGCTTTAAAGAAAAGCAGAGGGGCCAAACTGGGTCCCCCCGTCGGGGCCAGAATCCTCGTGAGGGTCGTCGTTTTTTAGCCCTCCCAGGAGTCGAAAAAGACCCCTCCAACGACCCGCGAAACCCCCTCTCCAGGTCCAGGGGGAGGGGGTAGGGGGAGGGGTAAACCCCTCCCCGAAGGGGAAGAAGGGGGGTTGAGGACAGAGAGAGCTCCCTAAACCACTCACGCCCAAAGGGCTGGTGGGATTGTAGGCCATGATCTCGTGGTCCAGCGCCGTGGGAGCAGCGTCCGCTGCTGAGCGCACCATGCGTCGGCCACGCGCAGAGGGGGGTAGGGGGAGGGAGGAAGGCTTCTTAGAAACACCCATGCTTCTTGAAAGGCGCGGACCTTGTCTGTAGATGTAGGGTCGGCGCCTCCTAAGAAGCAGCCTCGGCGCCTCCTAAGAAGCAGCCTCGGCGCCTCCTAAGAGGCAGCCTCCTAAGAAGCCTTCTCCCCTCCCCCTACTCCCGTGTGCGTCCGGCCGAAGAGTGGCCGTGGCCCATTATGCGCGGCTTTCGGGAGGGCCTGGGGGGGGTCAAACTCAGAGGAGGGCGAGTTGAGACAAAGGCAGTAGTTGGCCTCTGGGAGGCGCCTTCATCGCCACGGCTGGACGCAGCTCAGAAAATTTGTGCGTTTGGACCTTGGAAGAGGTCCAGGTCCCGGGACCGATGTTGAGTTGCCGTTGTCTCAACGCGCCATCATCCCATAATCCTCCGCTGCACGAAAGAGTGGTCTTTCGCCAGAGTGGCCCATTTTGCCTGGCTTTCGGATGAGCTTGTGGGGGAGGGAGGTCAAATCCAAGCACGCGGGCCGTTATTTTCGCATCGCACGCAGCGATCTGCATTCCGCGCGCCAGAGGCCACCCTTGCCTAGAGTCCCTCTTGGGTGTGGCCGAGATCTCCGAATTCCCCCCCCCCCGAAGAGAAAAGAACGGCCGCTCAGAACAGCAAGGAGAGCTCGGGAATTGCATCCCTAGAAGTGCGGCTCGCTCGCGCTAAACGTCGAGGGTGTGACGCAGATCCCACCCGAGTCGGGTTTGGGGTCCCCACACCTCGTGTCGTCTCACTATTCCCATCCATCGTGATGTCGGCTGGGGGTTTAAGGTGGCGAGGGGTCCTGGGACCGACTTTGACCGGACCCTCGTCCCCCCTGTCGACCGACTTATTCGGGGCCCATCCAGTGCAGACTTTCGGCCGCTTCCAACATCCATCCTCGCCTCCTTGACGTCCTCCTCCGCCGTTGCCATGCTCAGCACGTTCGCTGCTTTACCCAAACATACCCGTTCCACCTTATCGACCAACGTACTTCTGACGTGCGCGGTGTCTGTCTGTCCTCATTCCTCCCTGCTCCTCCTTTCTCTTCCTCCTCGTCGTACAAAGCCCATTGCGTCAGAGTCGCTGGCAGCCCGATTTCACAGCCTGCGCTGCTGTCACGATATGCTCTTCGCGCCGCCCAGCGCCGAAACAAACAACTACAACAACAACAGCAACAACAACAGCAACAGCAACAGCAATAATACAAATAACAACAGCAACAACACCAACAACAAGAATAGCAACAACAACCAACAGCAGCAGCAGCAGCAGCAACAACAACAACAACAACAGCAGCAGCAACAACAACACAACGTCCACCCCCGACAGCCGCAGGACTGGCGCACCGAGGGCATCGACTACCGCGTGCTGGGGCCGATCGGCAAGCAGCTCAACACTGGAGCCTTCGCAGAGGCGGTGTTCTACCTGCGGCCGTTGAAGGCAGTGCTGGCTTCCGGCCCTGTCGTCCACACCCCTAGGGGGAGGGCGGAGGCTTATCAGAGGAGAGCGAATTGAGACAACGTTAGTGAGCCTTCGGGGGCTCTCGTCGCCATGGCGGGACGCAGCTCGGACGACTGTTGCGTTTGGACTCCGGGAGGGGTCTGGGGATCGAATTTGAGTTGCCGTTGTCAACTCGCCTTGCTTGGAGTTTAGGACGTTATTGGGCGTTCGGCGCTGCTGTTTCCCACCAGCAAGAAAACACTCAGTGGGGCCAGAGGCCTTCGGGTACCTTCGGAGACCTCCTGGGGCACGAGAGGAGGAGGGACGAGAGAAGAGGAGGCTACGCCCGCCAGTGCTGCGCCATTGAAGGCGATGCTGGTCTGCGACCTTGTCCTCCACATACCGAGGGAGATCCCCGAGATCGTTCTGGAAGATCCGCGGGCATTAGCATTCCACGCGAGGGACGGCCCTCTCTCGGAGGTGGACGTATCACCCGAGGCGATGGAGCGCGGCTGGAAACGGATTTGCATTTTTGCGCTGTTGTTCGGCACCACGGCGATTGAGGTCCAGAGCACCCCAGAAGCGATCCGCGATGCTTTGAGGTCGCCAGCCTTGGAGCTGGGCTGGTCTGGGCTCCTCCCGTGCAACTATGCGCAGCGGCAGCAGGCTTAGCGTCTTCCTCCACCCATTCCCCCTCCCTCCTCCGTCCTGCTTCTTTGGAGTAGGACAAGGAAGAGGAGGGAGGAGAGTGTGTTCGTCGTCGCTGACCCGCGCGCATGGGGGAAGGGAGTCTGTATTTCCCCCCATCCCCCCCCCCATCGGCGTTCGAGGGGTTGGAGAGGGTTATCGCTGGAAGGTCGAGGGTCACGGGTCTGGAGGAGGAGGGGATGTTGGAGGGCGGGGGGTCCAGGGTCCCAGTTTCGGCGAAGAGGGGGGGGGGGAGAGAGATTTTGCGACGCACCACGCCCGGTGAGAGGCACTCTCTCCAAGATCTTGCAGCCAGGTGACGTGCGCCATGTTGATAGGGTATTGGCCCCCAGTGACTTGCGACGCATTTCGCTCTGCATTCCTGGAGGGAGGGAGAGAGGAGCAGGAAGCAGATGGTGAGGAGGAGGAGACTTTGCAGACAAGACCTGGATCTGCTCTCGAGGATCCCGGCCAGTCTCTCTGAGGGGCGTGCAACTAAGGTGGGAGAGCACCTTTGAGGCCATCCAGGGGGGGGGCTCGAACGGTCTCCTCGTCCCGCCGATCCTGACGGAGCTGGTACTGAACCGGTACCTCAGCTCGGACGTCTGGTCCTTCGTGGAGGAGGTCGCGACCGCTTGGTCGGATGCGGAGCTGATCCTGCCTGCACACTTCGACACGCCGGTGGCCGCCGGAGTCTCCGAGTGGAGAGATGCGTTCCGGCGTGCCTTTGGCGAGCCAGGCGGCCTGGGACTTCTCCAGAGCTCGGGTGGTGAACTGCCGGCGCGGGGTCCACAGCCACAGGAGGCAGACTTGGAGTTCATCCGGAACATCAGCGACTCGCTCACGAATCTGGGCATCATTGATCCGCCAGAGCGCATGACCTATGCGTCCGGCGCGGAGGCCGATGGTTTATCAAGGGGTTGACGTGTTGTGACAGGCCAGGTCAGGTCAGGTCAGGGCCGATCGCGCGCGGAGGCCGCGCACGCCCCACAAGTCGAGACGGCGGTTGAAAAAAAAAATCGATGCAGTAGCACACACACACACCCCTCTAAAATAACGACGTCGCTGGCAAGCTACTGCGAAACTGTGAAGTCGACGAAATTAGCTTCGAATTTTGCCAAATCAAAAGAGTGGTGTGGCATGGGTCCCAAAAGAGTGGTTGGATGAGTATACACGATGGCACACGCGCTGCGGCCTGCTCTTCTGGCTGGCGCTCGTTCGCAGAAGTGTCATCGTAGCCGCCATATGGCGCGCTCCAGAAAGGTCCTCGCCTTCGAGGGTCGAAGGAGTTGGCATCTTTTCAGCAGAAGATGGCAGAAGCAAAACGAAGCCGCCTCCACTGGCGGAAGCTGGCAGAAGGCCGGCGGAATGGGGCGGAAGTAAAAGTGCGCCCCCCAGAGATGTCAGTTGATTTTGGATTCAGAGTTTCTGGAATCGGCCGTATGTTTGCACGCAGGTGGAGCAAGAGTGGGAGGAGCAACAGGAGAACCGTGAGAAAGAGGGGCAGGAGGAAGAAGACCTTCAGCGGCCCAGGTGGGTGGAGAGAGAGAGAGAGAGACTGGACTGGAACTCTGGGAATCCGATTGATCTCTCAACAAACCGAGCCTGACTTCGCAAGCAACGCTGCCGAGCATCCGCAAGGATTCTGAGACGAGAGAGAAAGAGAGAGAGAGTCGAAGAAGAAGATGAAGAAGAAGAAACGGTATAGACATGTCTTAAACGGCCCTCGCGGATTTCTGCTAGAATCGGCGCTGGGCCACCCTGACGGTGCTCCGCGCGCCAGGGAGGTGGGTCCAGCGCTCAGCGTAGATCCAAGAAATCCGCGCGGACCTCCGAAAGTTCATGTTACGCCACTTTTGATGTCTTTAGAGAGAGAGAGAGAGAGAGAGAGAGAGAGAGAGAGAGAGAGAGGGAGGGAGAGAGAGAGAGAGAGACAGAGAGAGAAAGAGAAAAAGCAAGACACATAAAATATAGAGAGATAAAGAGAGAGAGAGAGAGAGAGAGCGCGCGAGCGAGAGAGTGATCATTACTCCTGTGACTTCGAGGAGAGCAGATGCCCATCGCGGGCTAGTGGACCCAACACGGACCAGCTTCCGTATACGGCTCTATTTCCCCATGCCGTGTTATCCGGATGGCTGTCCGCATTGGAAATGGCCATACTGGGGCGTTCCAGAAAGGGCATCTACGGATCGATCAGTGCCCCTCGCCCTCGCCGGAAGCTTGCGGCAGGCAAGCGAAAGTTAATGGGAGCAAAACGAGGGCAGCTCCGCCGGCGGAAGCGGGCGGAAGGCCAGCAGAAGCCGGTGAAGTGAAAGATGCGCCCCCAACAGATGTAATTTTGAATTCGGGGTTGTAGGAGCGGGCCATGAGAGCCGACCCAGTGTTAGCGAGCACAGGTAGCATTGATATCGATTTCAAAGGTGGCAAGTGCGACGGCATATTGCAGCATAGAGATCGCCCGCAAGTTTAAGTCGACGTTTCTGCGCTGAATTGATGCTGACCTTATTCATGCTGATCTCAACGGCGGTAAGTGTGACCGGATATCGCAGCCCAGAGACCATCCGCAATCTTAGATGAATGGCTCCAGTATGCAAACATGGCTCCGCGCGCGCGATGGAGCAATGAATGCACCAGCTGGCCAGACGCAGCCGAGACGGGTCCCAGCACGCAGGAGGAGATGCCGAGCAGAGACGAGCCACAATGTTCGCCACTGCTGCACCCTCATCTGCAGCCCCTGCTGGCCGGCGACGAGGAGGCGATCTATTGGGCCCTGCGGGGCCTCCACGTGGCACACAAGCCCGCGACGCACGGGCGCGGCCCACGGATTTCAGTCTCCGAGAGGAGGGATCCCGCAACGTTCGCGGCATTGCTCGAGCTTGGCCTCCAGGCCAACGACGAGGACGAGATCTGCGTCGAGCCCGAGGGCCTGCAGAGCCCGTCCTCCTCTGCCAGGGCAGCCCTCAAGGTCAGACTAAAGAGGGTCGCCGGCAAGGCCAGGCGAGGCTCGGGCGCTGGGTGCGCCCGAGCAGAGGCGATCATTCAGGGCGACAGCTCAGGCCCCGACCCCAGTGAGGCAGATCCTGCTGTCCAGGCGGGTGCAGCCTGCCAGGCTCGCCAAAGGGACGCACGAGAGCACTTCATGGTGCGTGCTCTGTCGCGGCTGGGTCCAGAGCTCGAGAGCAACGCGGAGGTGATATACTTGTTGCTGCGAAGCCACCATGTTCCACAGCATCAAGGCGACGGCCCACGGATTACGGTCTCCAAGCGGACCGACCCCGAGACGTTCGCGGTGTTGGTCAAATTTGGATTTCAGGCCACCGCCAAGAACGAGGTCATCGTGGAGCCGCAGCCAGAGCAGCGCCCGAAGAAGGTCGGCGCGGAAGGCCTCACGCATCTAGACCCGCGAGCACGAAGAGCTCCGGCCCCCCGTGCGAGCGCGCCGACTTCCGCTGAGGCTACCGGCTCCCGCTGGGCCGCCTGTCAGCTCGGGCCCACCCTCCGCATCCCGGCCGCGCGCCCTGCTCCGAGCCCTCACTCGGCGCCGCCCGCCGCCGCGGGGATCGCGGCGCCGCGCGCGCGCGAGAGGGCGGCGAGCGCGGTGCCGCGCAGCCGCAGCAGCACGTCAGCCGCGCCTGGCGACGGAGCGCCGAGCGCGGCGCCGAGCCACCGAGCTGCCGAGCCGGGGAGCGCCCCAGGCATGCCACCGAGCCACCACGGACGCTCGCCGTCGCCGAGCCACCGCGGGAGCCTTGCCCCGAGCCACGGCGCGGCCAGCGCGGCCACCGTGCTTGCGCCAGGCCGCGCCGTGGTTGCAGGGCTGACCGCTCTCGCGCCGCCAGAGTGGTCCAGGCAGCCCAGCGCGGCCAGCTCGGCGGGCCTGGCGCGAGCCCCGCAAAGCGTTGCGGAGCAGCAGGAGGCGGCGGAAGGCCCCCGCCGCCTGGAGCCTCCACCAGAGGCTCCAGGAGGGTCTCTGTGGGCCGGCCTGCGCCCGCGGCACCTGGAAAGCTTCCAAAGGCCCGGTGCTTCCAGCAGGGGCCGGCTGCCTCCGCACCGGCGGGCGCCACTCTCCGCGCCGGGAGGCGACGCCGACAGGGTCGACCCTTGCCTGGCCTACTGGTGTCCGAAGTCTCCTCGCTGGTGGGCCCCGGTGCTCAGAGGAGAACAACACATCGATTCCGATGCCGATACCACAACATACCACAATATTTAGCTTGACCACGCCCTTCTAGGCATCCTGAGTGGCCCTCGTCGCCACGGCTGGACTCGCCTCGTAATCCTAGTCCGAACGCGCCACTGAAGAGGCCCAGGGAGCAGCGGTGTCGGCACACCCCCTGAGATCCAGGTGTCTCAGTTTTTCTGCGCCGGGTGTTCTCGCTCAGTTCCTGGCCCCGGGGCCCTCACAGATGGATATGGCTCGAAAAAGTGCCGGAAAGATGCGGTCCGGAGCTCTGGCCTTGATTTTTCACGATTCCAACTTTCTCGCCACGTCGGACTTCAAGGCCTTTGCTCCCTGAGGTGCAGGCCGCCCAGCGCGTGACCGCCGAAGCCCAAAGGGGCCTCTGCGAGAGGCTGGCCCAGAGGCCCCCGCCGCGCGCCCGCGAGCCCGAGCCGCGGGCCGCGCTCTACGAGATGCCCGAGCCCCGGCTGCTGCGCCTGAAGCGCGAGCAGAGTAGGCGGTGCGACCAGCTCTCCCGCCCGAGGTCTGGGGGACAAATGGCCTGAGGCCTGTGGGCGTGATTTCCCACGATCTTGGAATTTTCTTGCTTCGTCGGATCTCAGGGAAGATACCGACGCCGCTAATCCCCGGCCCTCTCTTGGGGCGCCTTCGGCCCAGAACTCCGAGGCGAATTCCGCCATGGAAAGGCGAGGGCCGCCCGATAGCCCCAAAGGGCAAAAACGAGAGAAGGGCAGCGGGGTCGGTGGTACCTTCCCAGATTCGCGACGCTTTATTTTTCCACATCCTGAGATCCTGGTGGTTCAATTTTTCGAGCTGGACGTTTTCGCCTAGTTGCGGGCCTTGGCACCCTCGCAGATCGATCCGGCTCGAAAAATGGCGCCGAAAGATGAGGTCTGGGGTTCCAGTCGTGATTCCTCGTGATGTCTCAATTTGTTCGATACGTCGGATCTGAGAGTATTACGTGGTCCCTAGAAGTCCCGATCCTTTCCCCTGGGCCGGTCTGTCATCCCGACCGGGTCGCCTTTTGACGGTCCTGGGGCCCGGCTGGCCCCCCAGGGGCCGAAGACAGTCACAAATTATCCGTCGTGATAACCCCAGGAAGCATTTAAGAAACCCCTCCCCCCCCCCCCACTCCGGCAAATCGATAACCCTTCCGCACCCTGGAAGCGTTACCTGGCACCAGGAGCCCTCCTTTGTGTCCGGATGCTAAAGCTATCGTTCGGTTATTTCGGCCCTTCGGAATATCGAATAAAAAATTCGGAGCTACGATATCGCCGGGGGGGGTCTTAAATGCTTCCTGGGGTTATCTTAACGACGCGAGTATGTCTGGGTTGAGGAGGAAAAAATAGACAGACACAATTAATCGTCGATCTCCAGGAAACTAATGAAAAGATGGGAAGTGAAATTTGGACATGGGGCTTGTGTCTATTCATATAAACGCTGCGCTCATTACGCCGGCCCCTAGTGTTGCATCGCTGGCTTTGGCCCGCGCGTGCGTTGCCCATGTTGCGCTGCTCGGCGGAGGTCGTTTTCCAGCGACGTTACGTCAGCAGTCTTGGATGTGGAGCAGTCCTATGCAGCTGTTTCTGGGGGTGGTTGTTTGGGAGCCGTCATGGGTATGTGGCACCATCGTGAGTTGGGCGTGTCACCCATGGAGTTGGGTTTGTCACCCATGAAATTCCGCGGTTGGGCCATTCGAGTGCTTGCTTGGGGTCCGTTTGCGGTTATGTTGCCATTTCCGTAGGGCGCGTTGTTGCTTGCGAGGGTGTTGGACTTCATTCGGCCCGATCTACGCCGAATCTTGCGGGACCCTGGGTACGCCTGCATACGAGTTGAACATGCTCGGGGAGGGTAGCAGAAGGTTTCTTGGGATCCCTGGGAGACCTCTCGGGGGCCTCGTGGCGGTATTTGTGGGACCTCCTGGGGCCTCACGGGGGCTTCTGGGAACCTCTTGGGGGCCTCTTGGGGGCCTCTTGGGAGCCTCTTGGGGCCTCTTTGGCTCTTGGGGGCCTCTTCTGGGCCTCTTGGGGTCCCGGGGGGGGGGGCAAGAGCTGGAAATATCCGTTCGGGTCCCCCGTCTGGGCCACCTCTTGGAGCCGTCTTGAAGGCCTCTTGGGGCGATCTCTGGCCGTTTTGGAACGCCAGGAGGCGGTGATTTGTTCAAAAACCTAAGGGAAAATCTATGATTGTTACATCTCGGGCCCTCTGAGGACGCCTCTTAAGAGGCGTCCTCAGAGGGCCCGAGATGCCCCAAGAGGCCTCCAATTGGAGGCCTCTTGGGGCATCTTGGAGGCGTCTTCGGCGGTCTGGAGGCCATCTTGAGCGTCTTGGACAACGCGGAGCCCTCTTGGACCGTCTTGGGGACCTCTTGGGGCCCTCTTGGAGCGTTCTGGTGCGCCCGAAAGGCTGCACCCAGGAGGAAAGCCCTCTCTGACCCCGACTGCCCGGGCTTCTCCTGGGGTATTTTTTCGTCCGGGGACCCCAGCTTCGCGCGCGCGAGCTAGACATACTCTTTACCAGGTTACCGGAGATCCTTGCACGCCTCTGGCCCGTTGGGCCAGCGAACGTGTGCGTTCTGGGCCCATTCGGCACGTCTGGGTCCTCTGCAGGTCGGCCCCCACGCTGCAGCGCGCCCGGGCGCGAGACGGGGCGCCGAACGGCATCCGCCCGGGGGCACCGCCGCCGGGCGCATTGTCGGAGGCGCTGCCGGCGGCAGCAGCCGCGCGGTTGCCGCAGCGCGGCCCGGCGGAGCGCGCCGCGGAGCCCCCGCGGTGCCGTGGCGGTGCCGCCCACGCCAGTGAGGGGTCGGCGGGCCGGCGGCTGGCGGCCGCCGATCCGGGACTGGTTTCACGCGGCGTTTCGGAAAAGAGCCGCCACCACGGAGCGGGCATCAGGCAGTGGCGGTGCGTCCCGGCCTGTCTGTTGGCCCACCAAGTGATGATCTGAGAGCGGTTTCTGATTTGCTCGGAGTGCTCTCAGAACATTTCTGGTTGAGACGATGCTCTTTGAATACATGGTGTTGTATGTTATCGAAGACGCCTACGGCGAGCCACCGCCGCCCCCTGTCATTTTGGAAGCGACCATGCGGCCGAACGTTGAATAAAAAGAAGACAGGAAGAGGAGGCGGCTTCTGGGGAGCAGATTGGGGCACTCCTGGGGTCTCCGGGGAACTGCCTCCTTGGGCCTCTTGGGGGAGTTTGGGAGCTTCTTGGGAGCCTCTTTGACCGTCGCAGGGCGTTCCTGACATGTCTGACGCAGCCGGAAGCCGTCTTGGGGACCTCTTTGGGCCCTCTTTAGGCCTTCTCAGGGCCTACAGGGCCGTCTTGGAGGCCACTTTGGGCGTCTTGAAGGCCTCTTGGGCCGTCTTGGGGCCCGCTTGGGGCCGTATTGGAGGCCATTTGGGCTGTCATAGGGCAATCTTGGAGGCCTCTCGGGCGCTGTGGGGGCGATCTTGGAGGCCTCTTGGGCCGTCTTAGGCCTTCGGAAGGCCGGCGAGAGGCAAGTGCCAATAAACAAACCTAGGAATCAAATAATCAATGATTTGGGCATCTTCGGGCTTTCCTGGAGGACCTTTTGGAGGCCTCTTGGGCCGTCTTGGAGGCCTCGTGGGGGCCTCTGGGGCCGTCTTGGAGGCTTCTTGGGCGAACTTGGAGGCATCTTGAACTCTCTTGGGCCGTCTTGGAGGCCATATTGAACCAACTTGGACGAACTTGGAGGCCGTCTTGGCCGTCTTGGAGGCCATCGTGGGCCATCTTGGAGCCATATGGAGCAGTAGCAACCTTGGCAACCACCTCAGCTTTCCAGGTGGCCGGCGCAATGGACCGACGCCCCAGGGGGAATGTTTTTTAGAACCAAAGAATGTGGTAACAAGTTCAGCACGTCGGGCACCCTTGTGCTAAATCAACAGGGCACGGCCAATCCCGCCACCGTGCCTGGGTGTTGGGTATGAAGGCTATTGGATGTTCGTTGGGATCTCGTGGGAGGCTTCTTGACCTCTTGGGGCCGTCTTGGGGCCTCCTGGGGGCCTTTGGGCTTCTTAGGGCCTCCTGGGCGCCTCTTGGGGCCTCCTGGGGGCCTCTTGGGGCGGAAGGCTCAGATTGTCGGTTCGTGTTCCCTCTCTTGAGCCCCTTTGGAGGCCGTCTCGGGGCCTTCTCAGGCCGTCTTGGGCGCCTCTTGGGCCATCGAGAGGCGCTTTTATGCCGTCTTGGGGCCCTCTTCGAGGCCCCTTTGACCGCCTTGGGGCGGTCTTCGGGGCCTCTGGGGCCATCTTGGAGCCTCGGAAAGCCGAAAAGGCGAGAACGCCAAAATCTTTCAAATACCTCAGGTCAGTCAATGGTTTTGGTCTCTTGGGGCCCTCTTTGGAGGTCTCTTGGAGGCCTCTTGGGCCGTCTTGGAGGCCTCTTGGGCCGTCTTGGGAGCGATCCTTCGGCGACTTGGGGTCCTCTTGGACCGCCTTGGGCACCTCTTGGGGCCCTCTTGGCCTGTCTTTGGGTCCTCTTGGGCCCCAGAAGTTCACGCGCCACCACTTCCCAAAGCCCAGGGGGCCCGCCGGGAGCCCCGGGAGATTTTGGACTTTCGTGTCCGGGCCCTTTGAAGACTCCTCAGGACTGAAGATTGAGGCTTAGAGGATTGGGCCCAGGACCTGAGGACACGCCCACTCCGTGCCCAGAGGCACAGTGGCGGATCAGAATATTGTTCTTGTTTCTAGAACATTAATTTGTTCTGGGAGCATTTCGTGGTAGGCCTGTCGGAATGCCGGGACGGTCGACCCCTGCCCAAAAACAGGTCTTGGCGCTTTTCGCCGTTTTCTGGCTCTGGGGGCCCTCCACGGGCCTTGGGACCGTCCAAAAGTGGTAGGGCCCCAGGGTCCAGGATCCGTTTCCCTCAGGACCCGCTCCCTTCATGCCAAGAGAGTGGTTTTGGGAGCGGCCGAGGTGGCGCGCGCGCGCTCGCGCACGCGCCTCGTCCCATTCGTCCTCACCTATTCCCCCCCGGCCATGTTTCCCCAATCGTCATCACTCTTGTGCTCTTCCTGACGTGCGCCTTTCCCGTCTCACAGTCTCTCCTTAATCCTCATGTTGCTCTTCCTCCTCCTCCGCCTCCTCCTCTTCCTCCTCCGCCTCCTCCATCCTGGCCCCCCATCCTCCGCCTCATCCTCCCATTCCTCATCCCATACCCTCCTCATCATCAGCATCAGCAGCATCAGCATCATCCTCATCATCCTCTGGAGGAGGAGGAGGAGGAGGCGGGAAGGGAGGACGAGGAGGAGGAGGAGGAGGACCAATGTAAACCCAAGGCCCTTTAACGATGTTGCAAGAAAACCTCACTCCAAGGTCCCTCTGCATAAGTCCAGGCAAGGACTTATTGTAATGGCCTCCGGCCAGTGCCGCCGATCCGGGGCGCTCCCGATGCGTGTGGGAACGGACGATGACGACGACGACGACGACGACGACCGACGACCGGGTCAACGACGGACGATGATGACGACGACGTCCCTCCTCCCCCCGCTGCCCTCCCCGGTTTCTTGGACCTCCCCCCCCCGCTTGAGCTCGACCCCCCCCTCCGTCCCCGCTCGAGCTTCCTCCTTGGACCCCCCCCCCAGCTTGAGCTCGACCCCCCCCCTCCGCTCGAGCTCGATCCCCCCCCCCGTCCTCGCTCGAGCTCCCCCCCCCCTCTCGATTCTTGGACCCCCCCCCTCCGCGCTGACCCCCCCCCCTCCCGCTTGAGCTCGACCCCCCCCCACCCTCGATTCTTGGACCCCCCTCCCCCCGCTGACCCCCCCCCGCTTGAGCTCGACCCCCCCCTCCGTTCGACCCCCCCCCCGTCCTCGCTCGAGCTCCCCCCCCCCCTCGATTCTTGACCCCCCCCCCCCGCTTGAGCTCGACCCCCTCCTTCCGTTCCGACCCCCCCCCCCCCCCCACCCCCCCTCCTCGCTCGAGTTCCCCCCCCCCCCCGTCCTCGATTCTTGGACCCCCCACCCCCCCGCGCTGACCTCCCCCCCCCCCCGCTTGAGCTCGACCCCCCCCCCCCTCCGTCCCCGCTCGAGCTTCCTCCTGCGACCCCCCCCCCCCCCCCTTGAGCCGACCCCCCCCCCCGTCCTCGCTCGAGCTCCCCCCCCCCCCTCGATTCTTGGACCCCCCCCCGCGCTGGAGCGTTCACTGAATTACGTGGATAATTCGCCGGATCCCCCGCCCCCTCCCAGAGCGAAGCTTGAGCGAGCTCAAGCCCACGCTCTCAGAAACTCAGACGCCGGATCGGCGGATTTGCATTGCGGGAAGTGTCCTGTTGGGAGACAACCGTCTGAACATATTTCCCGTGCCAAACACCATCTTTGGGACTTCAACGCTGCGAAGCAACGTCACTGTTGCGTCCTGACGATCGTAAACCGTGCCAGAACATTCTTCCTGGGACTTCAACACCGCGAATCAACGTGACTGGTGCGCCCTGACAGTCCTGCATCGTGCGAAAACACCACTTCTGGGACGCCAGCCATAAGAATCCGTGAAGGTGCTGTAAACTGAAGACAAATTCACGCGGCTCCAAACAGAGACATTGTTAGACAGGGTACCGGCCTCTATGCGTGAAATTTTGCGCGCGTCGCTAAGGCGAGAGCCACAGGTTGAAAACGCCCCGCCCTGTATCCGTGAAGCTCTTCCAAACGTGTAAGACGAGTGAGCGCAGAGCTCTGGTCAGAGCCACATGTTGAAAACGGCCCGCCCTCCATCCAGGAAGCTCTCAAAGTTTTAAGACGAATGCGCGCGGCGCCAAGGCGCTAAGGCGAGAGCAACACATCAAAAACGTCAAGCTGTTGCAACTTCTGAGCCTACGGGTCATAAAGGGTGTGGAAGTCTCACTTGAAACGCCTGGCCCGTCTCGGGGTGCGACAGGGATGGACGAGTGATGAGGAGGCATAGGGAGGGGAGGGAGGGAGGGAAGAGGAGGAGGAGGAGGAGGAGGACCACCACGACGACGACGACGACGACGACACCGACGACCTCCCTGGTGCGCTCCAACTCGCGTCCTCCGACGCAGCTTGGCACAGTCGCGCCGTGCCCGGGTGGGCCCCACGGGCGACCTCGGCCGGTGCCGTTCGGGCGGCCATGGCCCCGCGCAGCGGGTCGGGGTCGAGGCATCTGCGAGCCGCCCCCTATTGCGCGGAAAGGGAGGATTACAACGAGGAGGACGAGGGGGAGGAGAAGGAACACTTGAGCACTTCAGATGGCTTCATTGCCAGCCTGTGTGGGAAAACACGAATGCAGCGGTGGGAGGCACGTGCCTGCAACAGTTGTACTGGTCTACGTGCTAGAAGATCATTATTCGCCGCGTCCTGGCTAGAGCACGGCCTGTAGGTCAAGCCGAGTACCGAGACGAGGAAGTGGAGGAGTAAGAGGAGGAGGAGGAGGAGGAGGAGGAGAGGAGGAGAAAGCTGACCCACAAGCGGGCCCCCAGCGTGGATAGTGACAGCAGCTGGCTAGGCGGGCGGCGAGGCTGGGAAGAGGGCCAGATCGAACCCAGGGTGCATCAGCGATGCTTCAGTGCACGCTTTTGCCCCGCGCCCCCTTCACCTTGAGACCCGGCAGGCACTCCTCGGGGCCGACTTCGAGGGATGAGGAGGAGGAGGAGGAGGAGGAGGAGGAGGAGGAGGAGGAGGAGGAGGAGGAGGAGGGAGGAGGGAGGAGGAGGAGGAGGAGCAGAGGAGCAGCAGGAGCAGGAGGGAGGAGGAGGAGGAGGAGGAGGAGGAGGAGGAGGCCTCCTCACCGCTTTTGCAGAGAGCAGCCCCATTCTGCCCCTCCCTGCCCTCGGGTCGGCCTCGTCGCCGCGCGTCCCACTGCGACTGACCTGGCCAGAGGGCGCTCTGGTCCTGCGTCTCGCCGGAGGGGTGGGCCAGGGCTCCGCGATCGGCAGCGCAGGCGTCGTCCACGAGTCACCCATGGGGTCGCGCAGCGCGCCACTCTGCCCGCGGAGCGGGAGGGGGGAGGAGAGGGGAGGTGAAGGGAGGGGAGGGTGGGGGGATGGAGGGTCAGGCGCAGGGGGGGGGGGGGGGGGCAGAACGTAGAGGGAGGGGGAGGGAGGACGGAGAGCTGTTGCTGTCCACGCGGCGCACCCAACTGAGAGTCAGGGGCGTGGACATAGCTCCGTAACAGCAGCTTACGCCAGTCACGGAATATGTATTGGTTCGGTTCGCCGACCGGCAGGCGGCAGGAACCATGATCGGCATTGCGACGTGCGACGGACAGCCCCGCTTTGAAAAGGAACCGTTCTGCATCCGTTGACCATTTCCCCCAGCAGTGTGCGCTCGGTTTTCCTATAGGCACTGGATGGGTGTCCCGGGTTTTCGGCTGGTGCCCGAGTGGTGCCCGCCCGTGGGCGCCCCGTGGGCGCCCCGCGGACGCCCCGTGCGCTTACAGCGCATAACTGACACACCGTACCGTACACGACACAGCTTGCAACGCATAGCTCACACGACACAGCTTGCACCGAATAGCTCACACAACGTATCTTTCACCGCATACCTTACACCGCCTGAATTGTACAACACAGCTCACACCAGATAGCTCGCACGATGTAGCTTACGCGTCGTAGCTTATACCGCAAATATTCCACCACACAGCTTACACCGCACAGCTTATACAACGTGCGCTTCACCTTCACAGTGAAACGACTCACTGCTTGTGGTTCACGCTGGCGAGCATGTTAACTTGGGGTCACAGACAAGCAACATCTCAGGCGAGAGCACAACTTTGAAAGGGAAGCGGCATTCATCATTGCAACTGTTGCACAAGTCGACATGTGGTAGTACTGTTTGAAGAAGCCTCAGGCGAGAGGGCCACTTTGAATACGTGCCAGCCTCCATCAGTGTAACTGTTGTACCTTTCAAGGCGAACGTGCGCGGCGCTAAGGCGATAGCCACATGTTGAGAATAGCCAGCCCTCCATCTGTGTAGTTGTTGGCGAATGTGAAGGTGAATGTGCGCGGCGACAAGGCGAGAGCCACGCTTCGAAAACAACCACCCAGCCCTCCATCCGCTCAAGTGTTGTAATGCTTGATCTTCGGGCAGTAGCTTACAAGAAAGTCTCAGGCGAAACGACCAGCCCCGCCCACGGGCACGCCTGATGTGGCGACGGGGGGGAGTATTTGTCCAGCTGCCTGAGGCAAGTCCCGGCGTTCCCGCACCGTGCCAGACCAGCACCTTCGGCGGCGACTGTTCGAGGAGGAACAGGGGGGCGCAACGAGTGACACCTCGTGCCCCGAGGCTTGGGAAAGCCGTAACATGCGACACGCCCTTCCGCACCGTGTCGTTTTTTTTAGTCTTCGTCGGTTTCCTCTCTTTCTTCCGTTTTTGTCTTGGGCTCCTGTGGATCAGTTTTGGGGCCAGGCCGTCGTAGTGCTCTCCTGGCTTGGGGCCTTCTTAGCCGTCTGGGGAGTCTGTTGCGCGGTCGTCGTGGGGCCGTCAAAAGAGAGCATCATGACTCCTCAGGGGGGTCGGGGCGGGACCCGGGGCGGGACCCGGCGCGGCTGCAGTCGAAGCCCAAATCGCTTTGGACATCCTCGCAAAATCGCTCTTGGCGCTGCTAGAACTCCATTCCCGGCGTACATTTTGGATGCCCGGAGCCAACTGTCGGCCACTTCGTGCTCTTCGACTTCCCAGAACTCCATTCCCGGCGTACATTTTGGGTGCCCGGAGCCAACTGTAAGCCATTTCGTAGTCTTCGAGTTCCCAGAACTTCATTCCCGGCGTACATTTTGGGTGCCCGGAGCCAACTGTAGGCCTCTTCGTGGTCTTCGAGTTTCCAGAACTCCATTCCCGGGCCACATTTTGGGTGCCCGGAGCCAACTGTAGGCCACTTCGTGGTCTTCGAGTTCCCAGAACTCCACTCCCGGGCCACATTTTGGATGTCCGGAGCCACTTCGTCTTCTTCGAGCTCCCAGAATTCCATTCCCGGGCCACATTTTGCTTACTGGATGTCTCCGTCAGATCTCTCGCCACCTGATTCCCGGTTTGTTCTGTGTCGTCATCGTGCACGGCAAGACGGCGGACCCAGGCGTCATCGTGCACTGGACGTTTCCGCCAGAATCTAATACTTGTAGTAGCAGTAGTAGGAGGAGGCTGAGGCAGGCTGATGCTGAGGCAGGCTGAGGCTGAGGCTGAGGCTGAGGCAGGCCGAGGCTGAGGCCGAGGCCGACGGCAGACTGAGGCTGAGGCTGAAGCAGGCTGAGGCTGAGGCAGAGGCAGGCTGAGGTTGAGGCTGATGCTGAGGCAGACTGAGGCTGAGGCTGAGGCTGATGCAGGGTGAGGCTGAGGCAGGCTGAGGCTGAGGCCGAGGCTGAAGGCAGACTGAGGCTGAGGTTGAAGCAGGCTGAGGCTGAGGCTGAGGCAGGCTGAGGCTGAGGCTGAGGCAGACTTAGGCTGAGGCTGTGACTGCGACTGCCGTTGCTGCTGCGACTGTCATCGCGAATGCGACTACGACTGCGAGAAAGCAGAATTCTACAACTGGGTTCTCATTTGAATATTAAGGGGAATGCTTCCAGATATGCTCCTACACATCGCTTTTAGGTTGCTTTGCCGGGATATTTTTTTTGTATTCGTCGGTTTCCTCTGTTTCTTCCGTTCCTTCTTGGGCTCCAGTGGACCAGTTTTGGGGCCAGGCCGTCGTAGTGCTCTCCTGGCTTGGGGCCTTCTTGGCCGTCTGGGGGGTCTGTTGCGCGGTCGTCGTGGGGCCGTACTTGGGCCGTTGACGTGCTCTCTAACGCCGTCGTGGGTTCCTCTGGAGGCCATCTTGAGCCAGCTTGTGGCTATCTGGGGCCGTCCTGGGCCGTCCAGGGTCCAGGGGCCCTCATGGGCTGTCTGAAACAGTCTTCGAGGATTATTGAGAGATTTGGCGACTGCCTTGGACCATGTGTGGCCGTGTTGGGGGCCTCTAGGGCCGCCTGAAGCTGCAGGAAGCCCGGAAAGGTGAAGATGCCCACTTCTGATCAGAAAATAAGGATGTTGGCTTCTTCGGGCACTATTCGAGGACCGTTTGTGGCCCTCTTGGCCTGTCTTGGGGGCTTCTTGGGCCGCCTTGAGGCCATCTTGGCTTGCATTGAGGCCATATTGGGCCGTCTTTGAGGCATCTTGGGCCATCTTGGCGGCCTTGGTTGCCAGCATCGGCTGTGTTGGAAGCTCGGGAGTACGGGTCCATTGTTATTGCGAAGGCCTTACGGCCGGTGCCGCCGACCCTGAGAACGACGAAGATGAAAACGAGGGGGGGGGGCAGGGGGCGGAGGATGAGTGGGAGGTGGAGGAAGGGTGGAGGAGGTGGATGAGGGGAGGGGGGGGGAGAAGGAGGAGGAGGAGGAGGAGGAGGGAGGGAGGAGGAGAGGAGGAAGGAGGAGAGAGGAGAGGAGGAGGAGGGAGAGAGGGAGAGGAGGAGGAGGAGGAGGAAGGAGGAGGAGGAGGAGGAGGAGGAGGCCAGAGGCTTTCTTGGGACAGCCTGGGGCTCTCTTGGGGCCGTTTGGGGCCGTCCAGGGCTCCTCTTGCGCCGTCTCGAGGCACTCTTGGAGGCCTCCTGGGCACTTTGGGGCTCTCCTGGGCTGTCTTGGGGCAGTTAGGGGGCCCCTTGGGAGCCTCTTGGGGCCTCTTGGGGCTTCTTCGGGGCCTCTTGGGGGCCTCTTGGGGTTGAGAGCTCGAAATGTCCGTTCGGGTCCCCCGTCTGGGCACTCTCCTGGAGCCGTCGTGGGGGCCTCTTGGGCCGTCTTGGACGCGTCTTGGGCCGTCTTGGGGCCCTCTTTGGCAGTTAGGGGACCCTCTTCGGGGCCTCTTGGGCCGTCTCGGGCCGATCTTGGGGGCCTCTTGGGCCGTCTTGGCGCGTCGGGAAGCGGAAGAGGCAAAAACGCCAAAATCTGTCAACAACTTATGGGGAATCCATGAATGTTGCCTCTTGGGGCTCTCGTGGGAAAGCTCCTGGAGGCCTCCTGAGGCGCTTTTCATGCCTCTCGGGCCGTCTGGCGGCCGTCAAGGCGTCTTGGACAGATCGTTCGGCGATTCCGGGTTTTCTTGGGCTGTCCTTGGGGCCTCTTGGGGCACTCTTGGTCCGTCTTGGGGCTTTTGGGGGCTCCAGGACTCCCGGGGGGGCGTCTGACCACGCC